TCAGACCTTCAATGAATGCTGAATATGCATTTAATAACTTATAAATATGATTAGTAAAATATAATATTAAAATATATCAAGTAAAATAGCGTTTCAGCGAAATTATTCTCCACAATGCAACTGCACTGCACTGTCTCAGATTCAAAATTGACGTATTGCCGTGTGCCAAATTTCCTGGGATCTGCCAACGAAGTATTACGTGAAACCATGACAGGAATTGTCATTGTACCTGAGTAGAGACTGGCCAGGATGTTAATCGCCCGCTTCGAAGGTAAGTGACGTGTCCGGCTCTCGTGCTGACTGATTAGATTACACATTATGCTGGCAGAGGTGCGACCGAGGCTGCGGACACACAAGAGTCTGACGCCGCGCACCAGCCTCAGACTGTAGGACACGCCAGAAGTCCGGTCGTCGACGAACGATCGTCTCAAGCCACTCTTCGTTTGATCCCTGAGCATTACAAGAAAATAATGATTCATATCATACTTGTTAAACATTTTTTTATTTAACTATTATCATCATCATCTCTCTCTCTCTCTTTCTACCACACTAGCAAAAAGTTTACATCTGATCCATTCCCAAACTAGAGACCATCTGATTGTCAACATTGATTATATACTGGTATGACACTTCTCTGTGAATTGAGTGATGAGAGGGTTACCGGTGACATTGTTCTATTAATATATATACTATTATATATATATATATAATATAGTAATATAATCTGTACAGGACATGAGTTGCAGGCAGTACTTGTGCTGTTGTTATCGTGACCAGGTGTTGTGTGCAGTCCGGCCCATTGGCAACTGCATTTAGTATGAAGTGGGAACCTTCCAAAGTTTGCTGCTGCAGTGACAATAGGCAAGCTGTTCTCTAAAAAAAAAAAACTGGTCATACAAACTACTTCATATGATATAGAAAATATCATAGCTTCACGTTGGGAGCTCATCCAATTACATTTCTGTCATATAACATTAATAACGCCGCAAATAGTGAACTACTGAATTTAGTTTCTACTGATAATAACACAAGTACAGATCTAGCCGTCATTGCAATCTAAATACCTGAAGGAGTCGTTGCACTGCAGCTTCAGCTAGCAGAGAGTGATAAGTAACCTCAGCCGGAACATAGAAATCTGCAAGCATGTTCTGCCAGCTGGTTGTAGAATTGTGTGTGATGCAGGAGTGCAAGCAGTGCTGGCAGACCACCAAGGACACCTGCAAACACAATATCAACGAACCACTCTAACCTGTAGCAGATAACGCCTTATAATACCCACATTCTCAGAAACAATATACTGAACTTTTATGACTACACAAAAAACACAACTGAATGTCCGGCAACGGTTTTAATAGGCGAATCCCCTTTTTTGACACACATTTAAGTACGGGTGACGATGTCACTCGGTTCATGTGCAAGATTCATCGGAACGTTGTTCAGATATCAGTAAGCATGCATCAGGAGAAAACACGCCTTACGCCAGATTCCTCATCCACACCGTCCAGGAGGGTCAGTGTAGTCAGCAGATTCAGCTAAGGGCTGCGATGTGAGATTCACCAGCACCAAAGACGCCTACATCCAAGCACAAACAAAGCAAAACTTTCACAATTGGGCTTATAGTCGAACCCCATGGATTCTCACTATGTGATATAATGAACCTGTTTTACGCAGATGCACATGACAGCGTTATTACAAATATTTTACTTACAACTAAGGAAATTTAATCAAAACAATGCTGCTTACTACACAATCGATCGATAATTTCGTTACAAATAAGATTCATATATACAAAACCTAGTTAGGAATTGAGAGCACACTACACATCTTCACCCGAAAAATGCTCAGCTCAATGAAGCTTAATCACACCTGCTCTCGAACGATGCTGGCCTCTGAGTGGTCAAGTAGGTAGCTCAGTGTTGCTCCCCATAATCCTCCAGGAATATCCGGACAACTAGCCAGCATCACTTCCTACCGTTAACACTCTGCGTAAGAGCTGCAACAATGCTAGGCCGGCTGCTCGTACCTGTGTGTAATGCAATTCCTTAATAGATTGACGATAAGGTACTTACGAAAAGCAAGCAGCTTGAGGTTCAAAAGGTTTGAGACACCCTCGCTAATATGGTCAAACGTATCGCTGTTCCATTTCCTAACTGACTTATTTGTCTATGAATTAGATCACTGCTCCTTCGATATTGTTGATTAAGTTGGTTAAGCTAGACCCGCTTATATACATTTTATGCAATACACGCCGAATGAAAGACTTTGCCGGACAACTACATTACTAAGCAGATTACTAAGCACTTACATTACTAAGCAGCGCATTATAAGCACCTACTATTGACTAAGCCCAAGCATTGTCTTAGTAATAGGGCATAACCCGTATAACATAGCAATTAACATCGCCATGATGCTGGCTAGAGCTTTTGTATCGGTCAATCCAATCCATACGTAGGATTTAGACGGTCAGAAAGTAAAATATGAATCACACCATCAGTTATGATCGTACAATCTTACGAGGGCAATGACAAAAGTATCAAAATCACAAGTTGATATGGTGATGAATAGGCTGATGAATAGGCTGATGTGGTGACAAGATGGGCTCTGATGACTGTAGACACGTTACCTCAGGATCCCTGTAAGCCCACAGTGGTACTACCCATGAAGAGCCGAGTCCTGTCTGCTTATCAGAGGAAGTCGTGGGAGGACTCGTGTAGATCCACTCCTGCTCCCAGTTCTTAGATGAAAGAAGAGAAAATTGAAATGGAAGAATTAGTAGCTACATTAAGAAGAATAAGAAGTTGCTTGTCAACCACACGAAATGCCATCAATTGTTCTAATGCTTACCAAATACCAGGTAAGATAATCAACATCATAACAGATATGCTAATTTAGAGCAAATATTGAAGTCACTCCAATAGAATTTAACAGAACTATAATACAATTGCTGCATTTAATATGTGCTGTTTAACACAAGGTTTTACAATTTAGCGCAACTGATTTCTTTGCTAAGGTGAGCCGGGGAAATGACTCACAGTCTCAGGGAATGTGGCGGCCATTTCATAAGCAACATGTTGTAGGCATACAGTTGCTGCTCTGGTAACTGCACATCCCATAAACGACATAGAGATTCCACCTCTTCCTCTGTGAAATGACATCACCACCTGAAGCCAAATTGAGGGAATTCATTACATAATTATCGAAACAAAATATAATTAACACAAGTCATGATTTGAGATGTAATAACTAAAAGAGTTACTACATATTAAATAAGTTCATTCGGTTGGTAGAATAATAGATCTATCTGGGTTCATTGTTACTCAACCGTGTTGATTGAAAACGTACAGCTGACGTTTCGCCTCCTATCAGGTGGCTTTCTCAAAGCTGACTGAAAATTATCAGAGTTACTACATGCTGATGTAATAGACCAGGCATAAGATCAGCTAAAATACAATAAATATTAAATAAATTACCAGCGAACTGGTTACAGCTTCACTAGCTCACCTCTATCAAAGCATGTACAAGATCAATGCAGAGTTTCAGTCCTTCTCCATCTGCACATCCCTTAGACCAACCAGGGCTAAAAGTCAGAAAGGCAGACCTCAAACACAAAGCATCATTTAATGACTGCATTATTAATTTATGCATTTAAATAAAAAAACTAGAAATATCACTGATAGTGGTTAATACCCCCGCAATACCGCTTTATCAGAGGGGAAATGGAAGGTCATGGTGTGGCATATATTATGAGTAAAGAATACACGGAACATAAAAATTTCCATGGCAACGCCTTGCCGACTATAAAAATGTCATGCACATCTACATTTCATGGTGATCAAGTGTATGAAGTTTGATTGGAATCCCTTGTAAACTGTGGAAGTAGTTCGCACCACAAAACCTTTTGCAACGAACTGACCCAACCGACCGACCGCCCGCCCGCCCGAGCGACCGACTGACCGTAAGATGACTCCTCCTATATACCCTCTTCAAACTTCGTTTGCGGGGGTATAATTAAGAATTCATCGAAGATCACCACATACCAGTTAAAGCTTGCTGAGCATATAAGAATGACACTGCCACAACTGTTTCTACACATGCACCTTACCGAGCAGTGATATAGACCAAGCAGGACAGGGTGCTCTCCAGTGCAGCAAGGTTGTAAAAGTGTGTCGCTCCAGCTATGTTAAGGTGGCCAAGAAGACTCTGTACAAGAACTCCAGTTGGTGGCCTCCTGTGCAAAAAAAAAAAAACGAAAAAGGTTTTCTTCCTGTAATTTCATTTCACAACACAATTGATGCAGCAAGAATTATTCCAGCAATCAGGAAACAAAGATCTGCGCACTAATGCTGTTCTGAAACTAGCCACAAGTGATAGGGGTAATATAAAGTCAGTGAGAATTCGTGTAAAAATTATAGTATTGTAACATGCAAATAAAATGAAGTGATTTGAAACTGCTAGTGAACAAGCTGATGAAGTCAGTAAGCCAAAGAAAATCATTTTTGTTGAAGAAGTATAAATGTTTGCTTCTGCCACACTTACTGGAGTTCATCGATGCACACTTTGGAGGTGTATACCCTCACTAAAGCCAGCAGCTCCTTACTAGAGGGCGACTCTGTAGCCAAGGTGCTGCTGCTGCTGCTGCTGCTTCCTGGTGGCAGAAGCATACTGGTCAATGAGCTATCCGAGCCTGCCAGCACTTTCCATGCCCAAGTTCGTGTCGACTCTGGGAGGGACGGTGCTATTTCCAGCATCGTCGTCACGGCAACCAGCAGATATCTCACCAGCTCCTCGTCTGCCGCGGAATTCGGCTGGACTTCGAGAAACCTGCATTGAATGCATGAAATGGGAAGACATAATCCTGTTATATAGCTAATGTATTGAAATCGCCATTTAGCGTGAACTAAATAACTTATCAAGAATCCACGATTTCAAAATTTATTTCATATACACAGATCCTCTCACACATGATGTATGACGCAAAAATAAATACTAAATTTTGCACAGCCAACAATATACATGGTGCAAAAACTGCTCTTTAGCAACTAAGAAAAATATCTCTAACAGAACGAAAGCCAAACGCTGTTGATGAATTAGAAAAATTCACTGCCAGTGAGGAGCTTGCAAGGCCATGTTCTCACGTTTACCAACAGACTGTCACTTAATCAATAAATATATAAAAACGGATAACAGCAATACCTACAGGAGTGAATTAAAACAAATCTGTTTTTATTTATGCCTTCTAACAATAATTTTAATAGTATTATCAGTAACAGTAATAACAACAATATGTCCCTTATATTCCTGGTGAGGATATGAATAATGAAGATGCAACTGACCAAAGTCGAGAACACCAATCACAAACACAGCAACAGAAACAACAACAACAATAATAATAATAATAATGCCAATAATAATAGTAATAATCATGATAATAATCATGATAATAATTATGATGAATGAACCTGCTAAATGCCTCCATCCAGCTGGCTTGCTCCAGCACATACACCGCGTCATCAGCGTGGGCGCTGCGCAACAGCAAGTAAGTGCACATGCGGCCGACGGCCTGTCTCACGGCAGCGTGACTCGTCGCGTTCGTCACCGCCGTCACAGAGTGTCGGAGACCGCAGAGAATCGCGCCGGCCATCACCGCCTCCTCCTCGGCCTCCGACAGCTTCAGGTGCTCTGGAAAACTGGTAGAGTCGCGAGATTACGGCCCAGCATCGTAGCTCAGAGGGCAATGATCAGCGAGGATTGCCATCGGTGCCGTCCGACGTCCGACGTCTGAGTCATGATCATGCTCACAGCTATGTGTGTTATGGAGTGAAAGTTGCACAGCGTGGTTACTACAATAGCAGCACCCCACAGAAAAATACTAATTAAAATTATTTGGATTGGGCTGGTAAAGCTAAACAAAGTGATCTATTAAAATTATTGTCGAACATCGTGTATTACATAGATCCTCTATCCAAGACTTCCAGTTACATGAAAAAAATACTGTGCTGAGTATTCCATGTACAAATAACTGCCAGATACACCATGATGATCAGTGTGAAAACGCTACAATGCAGACAACCACGCTTTACCATATCCATCTCAGCGCGCACACCAAATTCAAACTTTTACATTTGATATTATTAATTATTTATTAATTATTAATTAATGATCTATTATTATTCACTCCTGATGACATGTTGGTCCGTTTTGTGAAGTTTACCAAGCACCAGAGTTGTAAACGTATTACGAGTATAATCATTCTACCAGTTGTTGGTTGTATTGGCATCACCGTGATCATATCTATACACAATATGTATAGGTATGTATGTATGAACCATATTGTATAGATATGTTCACAGTGTTACTATATGAGATATGAAGTGTACCAAAATCTTTCAAGGACGATGGATGGTCATATAGTTTGTGTTTTCTGGAGGGACTTACAGCGGATTGCCTGCTGTATACAGGCATCCCCCCCCCCTTCACTCCACCCTCATTTACTAATCTATATATAGTTCAGATAACACACCAAACAAAAGTATTACTTTCTTCCCTGCACGCGGTATGTGCAGTCCTGATCTTTAGGAAAGCAATATAAAAATGTTGCGACGTTATGTAGTCATTCGCTAGACAGGTCTCCGTACTGCTTAGAAGCAAACTTAGTGCCAATTGTTCACGCACGTCTGTGTACATGACGTATACCTACTCTTGCCACATACTGTCTGTCGACGTCTATCACAGCTAGGGAATCGCTGAGCCGCTGGGCGGATATCCCGGGAGAGAGCGGGAGGGAGGGAGAGAGAGAGAAAAAATAATTGGCAATAAATAACAAAACTAGGTCACAAGTGAACGAAACGACGCGTTTGTGATCGAGTCTCGATGCAGCGCGTGACGTACTCTTCGACATGCAGCCGGCTGGCCGCGTCAGTCCTCAGGTAGGCCACCAGCGCCTCCATGCCGTTGTGCCACGACACGTTCCACTGCACCCTCAGCTCCTTTGCCCAGCCATCCTGCAGCAGCTCGTCGCGATCGGGAGCGGGCGAACACGTGCACGCCGTAGTCACCAGCTCGTGACTCGTCGGCTTGAAAGGCAGCTTGTACCTGCGAGCATTGACGAAAGAGATGCTACCCGCGTATGTACGCTCTCTGTGCTGTCACGTGTCAATCAAGCTCGGGTGCTAACCGACTTCAAGCCCAGCACCAAGTTGAGAGTGATGCACACGCACGCACATGCGTGGATGCACACACACGCCCACGCGCGCACACTCATGCACCCACACACGCACACGCACACGCGCGCACACTCATGCACCCACACACGCACACGCACACATACTCATGCACCCACACACGCACACGCGCGCATACTCATGCCCCCACACACGCACACGCGCGCATACTCATGCACCCACACACGCACACGCGCGCATACTCATGCACCCACACACGCACACGCGCGCATACTCATGCACCCACACTGCACACGCACGCATGCACCCACACACGCACACGCACGCATGCACCTACACGCACGCATGCATCCACACGCTCACGCGCGCATACTCATGCACCCACACATGCACGCACACATAACATGGATTGTTTAAACGTCAATTAGCACATGGAAACTCCCAGTTCAGTGATGTAGCAGGGAAGCAATCAGTGGCTGGAAGGAATGAATTCATTGACTAGAATTCTATCACTCAGTTCAGATTAACGCAGTAGTGTATTAGCACAAAACTGTGTATATTTGCAACTAGTATAAAAACGTTCATGGTGAACAGAAGGATGATTCGTTTCCGAGCAATGGTACACGAGTACACGCATCATTTTTTAGCTAAGATTGACATCACAAAACACAAAACACGTATCGGAAGAAAGTTTAAATATGAATATAAATAAAACCTACAGGTTAGCAACAATGCTTGGAAGTGAAAAGCCCCTGTCAAGACTGAGGCTTGAATCCGACTCCCCTTCGACACTGAAATCATACATTATAAGCATACAGCATCAATTATCTATATCTCCCCGAGCAATTTATCATCTTAAAGTAAAGAATCTGCCTCTTAAAAACCAAACCACTGATGCTACGCAAAATACAAATGTAATGATGAGCCGTGATTATTCATCGGTCTACTTCTCAGGAAAATCGTCCAAGCCAAGTAGAGATTCAAGAATAACCGACAGAGTACTGATGTAACAACATGCAGGGAAGCTGAGCTAAGAAGCACGCACGTGGCACCGATGCTAGCAACCTCGTCAAACAGCAGCAGGATGAGCAGGTGAGCGATGTCATAACACGTCTCTGCATCGTCCTGATACATCAGAGCCGCTGCGGAAAATATCAACCAATGTATCAATGACATGTAATGAACTAATGTATTTGACTCTATTGCACTGTTCTCACGTTCAATGTTCAAATTACAGCTGTTGCTCAGTAACTCTGCAAATGTTCTGAAGGGATATGGCGTATACAGTGATATTTTGGTATACTCAAGATCTCCTCTAATAACTTAAAAGACGTCTTTAAAAAAGTATAAACCTGCAGATGGCAGACAAATCCTAATAAATAATCGGTATAGGATATTCTAATTGAAAAGGGAAAACTTCTGCTCCTCACAATGCATTTATTGAGCTCTGGATTCCCCATTTCAACAGATTATAGATCTACATTGCAAACGTGATGCCATTCTTACACAGATTACTAAGAAATGTGGCCCTTACTCTAATGTTATACACATATATATGTGAACACTCTTAATATTCTCAATACCTCTGAGCAGTTGGAAGTAAACCAGAGATTCATGAGCAGAGCTATGACGCAGGCTGTATGAGTGGTGAGTCAAGAGCCTTAATATCTTCACACAGCCAGGGATGAATTTAATATAACTTTGCTGAAAAACCAACAGATCACCGTTTATTTAATGAAACCTTGGGTGTGATAGAAGAGGGAGGGGGGATATATAAAGCAAGAGTATATATGGGAGAACTCCCATTATATAGCATATCTCCCATTATATACTCTTGATAATGATATATGCATAAGTTTTGTTGCGAAAATAAACGTTTCAGATCTGAAAGTCTGAAATCTTGACGAGAGATGGCGCTACGCCTAAATGATCGCTATTTTGGTTTTCGAATATCGCGCAAATAAAAACAATAAAATATTCCAGTCAAATTACTGTAACGAAGAATCTAAAACACAATATTACACGTATATAGGTATGATTGTAGAGTTGTTAACCAGTTAGACGAAATAAACGTAATATGACGTTGTCATCGCTCCCATAGGAGTAACAACTGTTTTGGGGCTAGCCTTACACATTCATATACCAAAATTTAACAAAATCGAATGAATCTAGATGACCATTTCCATTTTTGCCAAAAAGTGGACGTGGCTCGAAAAGTAGGTCGACTGGCGTGCTCCAAAATAGGACGTTCAAACCTCTCCCATAGGAGTAACAACTATATGCAATTTGAAATTAGTTGAAAATTGGTTCTTGAGTTATCGTTGACCGTAGCCAAATGTTGACGGACGGACAGACGTACGACGAACGACACCCCATGGCAAAAGCTCATCTTGACGATGTCAAGGCGAGCTAAAAATGTGAAACTACTACAACAAAAAGTTATGACCTTTTATCAAAGGTTTTACCCAGAACCAAAAACTGACTGTATAACACCATACAACATGACAATATGTGAAATCCATTTAATGAGGATATATATCCATGAGGCATTTTAAAATTGCAATATTATTTCTACGCTATAAGAACTCACCTCTTTATCACTGTCTCTAGCTAGGGCCCAGGTCAAATGCTGTCGAACATGGGGCAAGACATCTACTTCTAAAGATGCCTGATGCAATGTGACATCTACAAAACACCCAAAAGACAAGAATAACAATTAGGGTATTCAACATTCATTGACATCAATTCTAACATTGTTTATTCTACAACAGTAACATAATAATTAAATATCGTATGGCTATCTCTTACATAGCATTTTTCAATTTATTACATTATCTTTTTACAGAATGCCATGACTGTCTTTTTTTATAAACTTACACGCATACATCTTAAATCGAATCACAAACTGTAGATAAATGCGATCTTGAAATGTCGACAATTGTCTGTAGATAATTGCGATCTTAAGCCGATTTCACATTTGGATGTACTGTGGGACTTTTTAGCTACTAAATATTTTGTTTTGTATAGTAGTAATCACTACTTTAGCTCTACAGTGCTCGTCTCGTTACAATTCAAGCGTGTACAAGCCACTTGTACATGCACCGACAACAACACAGCATCCACCTGGAATATTTATATTTTAAAGGAAAGTCACAGGCACTCTTTTCCAGAGTAAACGCCAGCAGCTGATGTTATCACAACGTGGCAAGGATGAGCTTGGTAGGCAAAATCTTTGACCTGGCTACAGATCGGAGGTCACCGAGGATGCACAGTCACAATGCCGAATTGGCAGCACGATCATGTGGAAATGCTTGCCTTGCAGTATAAGAGCCAGCTGATCACAGGCAACCTTCCTAATGGATGCATCCGTTTTCTCGGCGGAAGTGAAAATGCTGCACACCTTCCTCATTCCCTCAGCCTATAATCATATGCCAAATATCAAAAATGAACCTGGAGTAACATACTAGCTAGAGGCCAAGGAACACGCGTACATAACGGGCGTTTCTCATCCGTTTGGTATTAAATAGTGGAGCTCGTATACCAACATGTTTTGCGATAATCCTTTTTTATGATATGATTACAAGACATGTAATTTTCAATAGGGTCTAATGTAAAGCTAATTAAATGCTAGACTATCCTCCCAAATTTCACGCCAGGGGTGACTCCCGATAACGCACGAAATAACAGCGTTTAGTTGAACGCTGCTATCGTCACTTTCACGCAAGCATACTTGAATTGCGGAGACGAACGTGGGCTCGAGGCTTCTCGCATGCTCCAGAACAAAGAGATTTGGCAGGCAGGCTACATGCGCGTGCGTTAGATCTGGGTGCTTCTCCGCAGCATTGTCCTCGCGTGCTAGCATCGTCACGAGTCTTGATGCAGCATCTATCCTGACTCTGCACGCCATGGCAAACATTTAACGATTTGCAGTACAGTACGTCTACAATCTTAATAAACGCTACTATTAATTACTAATTATTAATAATTACTATTAATGTATACTATTAAGTATACATGTCTGACGATTTTTCAGATTTATATGAAAAAGCCTGCATGTGAAAAATGAAAATGATTAACTTTAGCTTCAACACAAACTTAAGCTTGATCTTCAAGTCTCACCGATGATCCGGGGAGAAAAGCAGTCGCACATTTCCTCTCAACACCTCAAGGCTGGATAACTTCTCAAAGTTACCATCAGATGGCAGTTCAACCAAATGTAACAAACACTTCCCAAGATCACTGTTACTGTCCGTATAGCCCTGTATATAAAAATGTTGTAGATTGAAACCTCTAATATTTTCTCTAAGTAACAGTTAGCTACCACCTCACTGAGATATCTTTGTAGCCTTCAAATGAGATATTGAAGTGGACTGAGTGACATTAAATATGATTGAGTATAAAACTTATGAACATAAACAAATTCATTTCCAGGGGTGAGTAAATAGGAAATATATGGACATGACATGCATTAAAATCACACACACACACTTTGTCTTCTGCAAACATGTACAGTATATCAGATAGTGAAATTGATAATGCCTTCTGAAGTGCTGAGAGCTGTTGTGACCAGCAGTGCTAGCTGGCTCCAGTACTCCTGACTATTGCTATTGCTTGCTTACCTGGAGTACCGGCATCAGTGTACTGATGTGGTCCATCAGCTGACTCCACATGGAGGTGGTCATAAGCAGCTGACTCTTCAGCAAATGTAACAGTATCTGGCCACCATATCGAGACACCTAAATGTATACAATTTACGCAATCACATGTGAGCAAAAGATATCGTTTACATTCCACAGTTTCAAAACAACTTGATAGAAAACAATTATATATGCAGTAGCTATTTTCACGCCAAATTGTGCTGTACGGTCATACATACAAGTTATTTTTGAATGGATAGCAAAATCTTATTGTTTCTCGAAGTCAGGCGATTTTGCCTGAATAACAATAGTGTATATTATCTTGTGTGCTTACCAAAATCTCACTCTTCTAAAAATAAAGTAAACCTGGCTGAAATTCTGAACGTTTTACCACAAATAACCATTGAACAAGGACAAAGCCAAAATATGAAAACAAACAACACATCGCAAATGATACAAATTCTCTCGTATACAGACATTTCTTTTTGCTCGGCTCCTGTGTAGGAAATCTCCAACAACTTTCGCGAGGCTACATGATTTTAACGATCTACTTCCTAATCGCTATCACATATATTCACGACACATTGAAATTGTGGTATCTATTATACATATTGAATGATTTCTAGTACCTTGACATGTTGATGAGGGATGATCTTAGAGCAGACGTGGTAGAGCACATCTCTATTGATGAGGAAGCAGGTACGCCGACATGCTACCGAGCTTGGATCCACGGCTGCACTCACCTGTAGAGCCGCCTGCACGAAGAATGAAAGAAAGAAAGAAAGAAAAGCTTGTGTTATATTCTTGTCACAGCCCAAGTGTATACAGAGTTTAATTTGCATTTAGTACAGCTATTGATGAATGGAACTTTTGCACAGTGTCATTCAACATGTGCAAAGAACGTAAGTATGAGTGTAGTGCCGCACACCAACTTGTGTAATGGCACTATGGCCAATGATCACAAATATTACTAATGCATATGGTACGGAACAAGACTACGCGTATTGTTAGTGCAGATAGTAAAGAATACCATCATGTGCAATATCATACTACACTTAAATAATTGAAAAATTATCTACAACATATGCATGGAAAACAAGTTAGCCATTTCGATTTTAACCGATTAACAGTGTCACCTGTCATTATAACACGGTACTAAGGCACTATTGTGTTGAGCATTTGCCACAAACCTGCAGAATGTTTACAGTAGAGTGTAAGGCATGCATCTGCAGCTCCATGTCATAATGGGACAACAGCTTTAGCAGTAGCTTTTTGCTTTCAATCTCAGAATCTGCCGAGGCATTGGTGTCCTGGCTACTATAAGAATATATCATTCATTAGACATGCTGACAGTTACAACTGTTAAAAGGGAATTGAAAGTAAAAATTGTAAGCCACGGTGATGACTACCATTAGAAATGTCCACGGATCACCACAAGAACTAATCTAAGAACTGTTACTAAATATTTTGCATGTAACATTATTATTACTGGTAAAGTTTTGCTGCTAAATATAAGCAATCACAAAATAACTAATAAAGTATAATTAATGCATTAATAAGCATTAGCAACAACACAAACAATGTACACATGTAGGCATAATATGCACACTCACATGTCAGAGCAAAGCTTAATACAGTTCTCCACAAATGGCAGATAGCGGTGATAATAAAGACTGGGTAAAGCATCGTTAGCTAGCTGCAACTTGAGGCTCACCTGACCATCTGTCTATTAAATATAAAGAGTTACGAGTATAATAATGCACACACAGAAAGTTTAAATTAACTCAACCATGAATAATATCACTACAGGCACCATTTGCACACACGTATACCTAGTACTGATTCTTACACCATGTACATGCAGGTATCTTTCACTGAATCATTTGATAATATATATATATATATATATATATAATAAAATAATTATATATATCAAATATGTATAATACAGTGGAACCCCGAGATACGAATTTAATTCGTTCCACAGATATGTTGATATCTCGAACCCTATATAGGACGTATAGCAATTTACGTACAGCAAGTGCAATCACGAGAGCACAACCACATTCAATGAGTCACGTACTTAAACAGACTCACCGAAAGAGCGCGTAATAGGCCTATGCCCTGATTAACTGATTCTTAATACGTTCGTATGTTGAATTTTATTTGTTTGTCGAATACATTACGTTCAACGGGAGGTCGTTCTTATCTCGAAGATTCGTATGTCAAGCCGTTCGTATCTCGGGGGTCTACTGTACATATCATATAATCAAGAGTGCATAATAGAGATATATAATGATACATATAACTTTAAACCATAAATGTGACAGTGTATTGGCATCATAAAACGTTCGATTTTTATACTGACGATTTCTTTGACGATACCACACACACTACTGCACAGTATTCGAGAGATAAATATACTTTTTTTCATCTGTTAAGCGAGACTTTGTTAAATGAGGTCAGATAGTACGGAGCCCGGTTACACGATTCACCCAAATCCACCCAAATTCCACAAATCCACCAATATCACCCCAAAATCCACCAAATCACCCCCAAATCCACCAAATCACCCCAAATCACCAAATCCACTAAAATTTACTACGAACTCTTTACTCAATGTTAACCCAAATGTAGGCAAATCCACTGAATATCACCAAAAACTCTGACACTTGCCACAATTTACGTGAATTCAGTGGAGTTTGGTTATGGTTTAGGGTTAGGGTAGGGTTTAGGGTTTTAAGGTTAGGGTACGGGTTAGCGGTTAGGTTAGGGTTAACGAGAATTCACTGATTGCCGGTTACACGATGCACCAAATCCACCAAATCCACCAAATCCACCCCAAATCCACCAAATCCACCCCCAAATCCACCAAATTCACCCCCAAATCCACCAAAATCACCCAAATCCACCAAAATCCACCCAAATCCACCAGAATCATCTAAAATTGACTCGAACTCTACTCAATGTTAACCAATGATAGAAATCCACTGAAATTCACCCAAATACTCTGACACTTGCCACAATTTACGTGAATCAGTGGATTTTGGTTAAGGTTAGGGTTAGGGTTAGGGTTAGGAGTTAGTAGGTTAGGGTTAAGCTGAGATCACTGAAATTCAGTGAAAATTTTCAGATGATTTGCCATCATTTTCGTAAATTGGATAGCGTTCGAGTAATTTCATGGATTTGGGTGGATTTGGTGGATTTTGGGGTGGATTTGGTGGATTTGGGGGTGGATTTGGTGATTGGGGGGGGGATTTGGAGTGATCGTCCTGTACCCCTGAATTCAGTGAATTTCAGTGGATTGCCATCATATTTGTGGTAAATGAATAGCGTGTCGATAATTTCAGTGGATTTTCGGCGGGTGGATTTGGTGTTTTGGGGGGGATTGGTGGATTTGGGGGTGGATTTGGTGGATTTGGTGGATTTGGTGGATTTGGGGGTGGATTTGGGTGAATCGTGTAACCCTACGGAGCCTATACCTGCTGCATGAGCATTAGAAGCCTGCAGCAACATTCGACTGCGCCTCCAGCCGAGATGCCGCGTTTGAACAGCTGGTACTGACTAGCGTCTGTCACCAGCAAGTACTCTGCGATGGTCTCCTTGACAACAGGGCACGACGCAGCCAGGCACACGTCTGCGGCCAAGGTCATCAGCAGTGGCTTGATTGTCGTGGACATTGTCGCAGCAACCTGAAAGGTTTGATTGTGTTCAGCTGACTATCGTCGACTCTATACAAAATATCTCAAAATGAGTACAGCTGAAGCCAGTCGCACACGCACAATATTGGGTTGACATTCGGGTGGTGATCATTTACTCAAGATAAACAGCAGATTCGATGAGTTTGCAAACTGTTTACTCGGGGAAGAGACAAAGTATTCAATCAAAGGTAGGGCCCACCAGCTCAGGAGTGGTCACGGTGCGCAGCAGCTTGCTGAAGAAGATGCTCAGATAGGTGTACTTCATCCGTTGGACTTCTGCAGCTGGAGCCTCTAGGTAAGGTGTACGGTTCAGCTGTAGCACCAGCTTCCCCGTTTCCTCTATCAGTAACTCCAGGCTCTGTGCCTGTCGAAACCCAACCAGTCAGAAGTGTAGTGTCAAACGTGCTGCTAATCTTACATTACGACGCTCACGCCACATCTGCACTAACAACCTTACTATTATCCTTACGTTTTCACTCCCCACCGTACATATACACTAATGTTCATACTATAGTGTTTACATTGGCATTCACAGACCACATCTATGCTAGCGCTCCTGAAGAATACCCTTATATCATTACGACCACGTCTACTCGCACTCGTGCTACTATACTCACAATATCCTGGGCTAGGCTATTCTGGTCCGACCACACGGAGGGATCGATGCAGTGCTCCATGAGCAGCGTGAGCCAGTGCATAAGCTTGCAGGGACCGGGATACTCGGTGGCGCTGCACGACGCCAGCAGCTGCACGGCCGGACGCAGCGCGCCGACGCAGAACTGCGGCAGCGACAGCGAGGAAGCGGCGGCGGCGGCGACCTGCTCTGCGGTGACGTCCGCCGCCTCGAACAGACGATCGCTGCTGGTGGACGACATCGTTCCGTTCAACGTGCTTCGCTCCTTCTGCGAGCTGCTCGAGGCCGTCAACGAACTCCTGGAAGTAAGCACTGCTAGAGGAACAGCACCCCCCTTTTAGGAACATTTGATGAAAAGCCTGACAATTAACTCCTGGAAGTAAGCACCACTAGAGGAACAGCACCCCCCTATTTAGCGACATTTGATAAAGAGCCTGACAATGAACTCCTGGAAGTAAGCACCGCTAGAGGAACAGCCCCCCCCCCTATTTAATGACATTTGATAAAGAGCCCGACAACAAACTCCTGGAAGTAAGCACCGCTAGAGGAACAGCACCCCCCTTTTAGGAACATTTGATGAAGAGCCGCTACACTATAATATGTGCATCGAGATTGCTCGTAATGAGAAGAGGATCGCGTTGCCCGTCGAAGACGTACACAAAGACACGATCAAAATATTAAACACTCAGCGGTTATCAAACATTATCCTGCAGTGAATTTTCATTCTAAAACAGAGCCTTGGCTTCTACTACACATGGATTATCCATACCCCGAAGCCTGATCTCTACCATCTCCGCGATGTCTTGGATCATCATCATCTTGTATGGAGGAAAGATGTGAGCTAGCATCGGACAGTTCGCTTACCTCCTCTAATGACATGGAAAAGTCTAGAAAAGTAGACAGTAGCTTATCGACATTGTAACTGAATTTCTACTTTTTTACATACAAACATATATCATACTAAATTATTAAAAATAACCTTATTACTAAATATACAAGTATATACATACATATATATTTAGTCGATCATTTGTAACCCATTACTACCTACTATCTTGAACATACATGAACCCATTCAATAACTAACATGTTCACAAATAACTGACAATACTCATGCTTTAATGACAGGACCAATTCGAGTGGGGAATTACTCTACCTGTCTTGGTCGTAAAGAAGGCTGGGTCTCTCCAGAATGCGAGCCTTCGCAGCAGGTAAACAGTAAAGGCTGAGAGGCAACTGACAGCAGAGGTGACAACTTTCTCTTCTCGGGAGGCATCCAGCAACAGAGCAAGACTCTGGCAAATGGAGTTTTAAATGAGTGAACAAATTATCTACCTATTACGATTATCTATGATTTATCTATCTATCTTTTTGACATAAACCTTGTGAGGCAATATTTTATACTGAATACGACCTTCTTCAAGTTTTTTTTATTGTATTTGCACATTTTGCTACTGAGAAATACATTTAGTTGCCAGTACATTAAGGATTTTTTGTAGTTGCAAAGGATTTAGAAACAAAACCTAAGATTCTATAAGTAGTTACATATATACTATACAGTTTATGCTTTGTGTATCAGTTGTAAGGTAAAAATATCATGGGTATACCTGTACGATTGCTGGGCGTTGCAGCAATGTCTCTGCTGGGAAGTCCTGCATTACGACATCTTTGAGGAACTCACATGACGTGACCACATGGTCTGCATTTAAACTATGCAGTGATCTAGAAATGCAAAATTTTACATCTATCACACATATGCTGATAGTAACCTATCATAAAGTTATGCTGGGGTGTCAATGTATATTAACGTCGTGTATTGCAACTTTTTATTTTTTGCCATCCATATTTAACAGCTCAAGAAGGGGAGAAACAACAATATTATAAGAAATATAGGTTAAAAATTTGCTTTCGTACCGTTCCGTTGACGACAACACATGTTCATCTGTTGCTGTGAGTGACACCCATGGAAACCTCACTATCTTAAAATTCCCCGTGGCACCTGCACGAACAACACAAATAAGTTAGATAGAACACTTTTTGATCATTCTAGGTTTTACATATTATATAGTCTATTAAGGACTTTATTATTAGAAAATGACAAGAACACCAACATTTTGACTATATTTTCTAAGCTACTAAAAAGATACTATGAAAGCAAATTGGCAGTTATACACCAAAAACATAGATAACACACCCTGTGAACCCTGTTCGTTCTCATTTCCATTATGGCTAGGCAAAAATTGGACTTCATTGCCAAAATAATCTTCAGTAAGTCGGCTTATATTTGGATCAGAATCAGCTTCCCCTTCCTCTGGCATCCAATATCCTGTGCGTAATTGCTCTCTCCATTCATTAGGTGCCACCGTGGTGTATTGTAGTGGGGTGTCATGTTGGCACACTTCCCCTAGGATAGGTATACAATACAGAAAGTATAAGAAACATAACCAAATTTTGTTAACACTGTGGAGTATTTCTGCATGATACTTAAAAGACGAAAATACAAAAATCATTCCATATATATATTTGTCATAGCCTCATAGGTATTCTCTGTAATAAAGATGGCATTATATAATGCATCCTGATCCACATAGAATACCTTCTGTATTCACATCCGCCTGTCTTTGATATGTGCAACTTCTTGAAGGTTTTGGTGGCACTTCAGGATCAGGCAGACAGAACAGCTGGTCTAATATTTCGTCTACACGTTTCTGGTCCTCGATTGTTAAGTCAGGCCGAAGTTGTAACAGAAAGTCGACGGATCCTATGTCAATCAGAAGGACTTTTGATGAAGGGTGCTGAAACAGATCGAAGGGTGCTGAACGAAATTGTATCTTTTTCCAAAGATGTAAAGCAAATAGATAGCGTTATATTGATTCTAAACCATAAATTAATACTGATTCCATTATCAAATATTCTATGTTATTGAGATGCAAGTCTCACATAAAAAAAGGTGCTTGCGTGACTAAAATAGGATCCATATAGTTCAACAATATAACTCCAATTGGGTACCTTTGAGAATCTATACAGCAAGCCAAGTACGTCAGATTTCATAGGGCATGGAGTTTTATTAAACCATTCTAGTAAGTTGATGCAGAGTTTTCTTTCTTGAACCAGGTCAGCCATTGACAAAATGTCGTGCTCGAGTTTAGCAAGAATATTCTGCAGTGCTCGCTCTCTAATCTCCACGAGTTCATGTCCTAAAAATTAGCGATAAATGAAAGATTAGTGATTGCTCACATATAATGCTCAGTAATAAGTGTATTAGACTGTATTACATATTAAAGTGGAATTTTCACTATATCAGATAATAAATTACTACTATGAATATGAACATGTTGCGACCACAGGCACTTGGAACATCTCAATAAAAAAAATATAGGTAAATAAACACGAAATGTATTTACTACCAGTCTTATTGTTTCTTTACTCTGTTTCGCCTATTATTGCCAATAACTTACTGTAAATGCCATTCAAATGCTCCTCTGAAACACACAAGTACACCGCACGCATGCCTTAATTGTGCACAAACAACAATAATAAACGCTATTATTCCTGTTGTTTGTGCACAGTGGCGTGCATGTGGTGTACTTGTGTGTTGCAGAGAAGCATTTGAACACCATTTACAGGAAGTTATCAGCAATAATAGGTGAAATAGAGTAGAGAAACATTAAGACTTTGGTAGTAAATACATTTCGTATTTATTTACCATTATTTTTTTTTATTGAGACGTTCCAAGTGCCTGTGTACATGTCATTGTACAAGTTTCTCCCGAGGCATGTCTCGTCTGTTAGTGATATGACTACAATGTGCGCGTGTGCGTGCGTGTCAATGGCAGCCAGTATTGATATTAATTTTAATAATAATACTAGCCTAGGCTAACATTACTCATTAGTATCAACCAATGAACCACAGGCACTTGAAGCGTTTCAATAAAATATAATGCTAACTAAATACGACATCTATTTACTACCAAATTCTTAATGTTTCTATAATCTCTTCCACCTATTATTGCCGACAGTTTCCTGTAAATTCCGTCCAAATCCTACGTCCAACATACGCTGCTGGCAGCCATTGCTCTCGCGGCTGCACTGAGTCTGTTGCACGCTTACACTTATATATATAGCAGATAGGAAAGCGTGATCGCAAAAATTCGCTCGACGCTCGGTTACGAACAGACAGTATGTTTTTATAACAAGTGAACACTGTTCTTGACATAGAAACAAAGATGGAAGCTGTTGGATGTGTATTCGTGCTGTGAAAGTGTGAAATCAAGCGAGCGTCGAGCGAGTTTTGCGATCACGCTTTCCTACCTGCTATATATACAAGTGTAAGCATGCAACAGTGCAGCCGTAAGAGCAATGACCGCCGGCAGCGTATGTTGGACGTAGGATTTGGACGGCATTTACAGGAAACTGTCAGCAATAATAGGTGGAAGATAGTATAGAAACATTAACAGGGCTGCCAACTCTCACGCATTGACCGTGAGACTCACGCATTTTGATCAAATCTCACACTCTCACGCTGATCTTACAATATGATATCTCACGCACAGCAAAAAAATGCTGAGATATCTCACGCATGAATATCTCTTCATGAATAAAACGCTGAAATATCTCACGCACAGCAAAAAAAATCTTACAATATCTGAAAACAGTCACTTTAGTATGCACCAAATTGCACAAATTGAAGTTATAAAATGCAAAAGCTCCCTACCGTGGGAGGGGGGAAACCCCCTTCCCCCTCCTCGGTAGCTTCGCACCCTCGCATCTCACTCTCACCTATCACCCAATGTTGGCAGCCCTGCATTAAGAATTTGGTAGTAAATAGATTTCGTATTTAGTCAGCATTATATTTTATTGAAACGCTTCAAGTGCCTGTGGCTGTGCACTGAACGGTGAACCACTGGCACTGCACTCTGTTGTACCGCGAGATTAGCAACCAGCAAGACCAGGAAGCGCTTCAAGACGATCTTGAAAAGCTGGTACAATGGACATCGACATGGCAGATGGAGATTAACGCAAGCAAGTGCTACATCATGAATATCTCCCTTCTGCGCAAAAAACATCATAAGTACATCTACCACATTCACGACTCTTCACTGCAGTATGTCACATCCAACCGGTATCTTGGAGTTCACCTAGACAGTGGCCTCAGGTGGAACGTCCACATTGACAACATATGTGTGAAGGCCCACAGATTGTTAGGCTTCCTGCGCCGAAATCTGGGCTGCAGCCATCAGCGCATTAAGAAAAGAGCGTACAAAACTCTTGTACTACCAAGCCTGGATTACTGTTCATCAGTGTGGGACCCACACCAAGAGAAATATAAATATAAGCTAGAAATTATACAAAACAGATCTGCAAGATTTGTTACAAACACCTATGGGCGATATAGCAGTACGTCAGCTCTTAAGGACCAACTCGATGGTGGCAACAACTTATGTATCGTAGACGCTTTAACTCGAGTGTAGTGATGTATATGGTTGTAAACCACCTCATAGCAATACCGGCGAATAGATATCTGATCCCGGGGATGTCAGGTACCAGATCGAAAAACCCCCACAAATTTCGGCACCTGCACTGCAACAACAACGCATTCAAATTCTCTTTTTTCCCCCGGATAATTCCAATCTGGAACAACCTACCCGTGGGTGTTGTGGAAGCAACGGACGTTGACATTTTTAAGTCAAGGCTTCACTCCCACATCATGCACGCGAACCCACTTTAAGAGGACACCAGTTGCATTGCACTCACATCATCATCATTATGATTATGCACCTGTTTGTTTATTGGGTGTATCCCTGAAGCCTGAAGGCACTTACTACCTTGTCATTATATCCAGCGTAGTGGACACCGACAAGTATGAGAACATAACAATAACATAACATAACTAGTAGTAGTACTAGTAGCAGCAGTAGGCCTAGTCCGCAAATGCAGACGTAAACTCCGCTTTGCTAATCTGAGGGTGCGGGACCATTACTGGGGTCTGCGTCGGCTCGGACTACAGTAGGCCTAGTAGCAGCAGTAGTATACTTAATAAATTATAAACGTACCAGTTTTTTGCACTAAAGAAGTAATAATTTTGTTTCGGTAATCGTTATCAGCCTCAGACCCATTGTCATCATCACTTAAATGACGACTCATGGCTACAATGTATATGCATGTATAGGCAGAAGATAATTAAGTATAAATAATGAATATAAACGCATAACTCTGTTTAAAAACACAAAACAAAACTTCCGCCAAATTTGCAAAACATCTGGACATGATGTTGCGTCGAAAAGGCAGTCTTTTATCCGGGGCATTTCAATAAGTGAGCAGCCAATATGGCGCAAGCTTTATTTGAAGCTCTTACAGGTTTGTAAACAAAAGTTATATTTTTAACAATACATTGTTTGAGATGAACCTACTAGTATGAGTACAAGATTAGCATAGTTCATATGTAATTATTTTATTGCTTAATTTAGAATATTGATCTGGCGTAGTGCCATAGTGATAATGGGGATTTTGCTACTTGTAATTCAAATTATTAACCGGGCATTATAAAATCGATTCAATGTCGAAAATTATAATTACTTTACTTTAGTACTCATAGTGATAAATATAATTATAACTGTAATACAGATACACATCATACAGGTTGCAGTGCAGGTGCAATTAGTAAAGGGATTTCTAGCCTCCCTTAGTGATGGCCACCATATAGGTTTGGTTGTAATGACTAATGATTGTGATAATGTACCTATACGGGTAAGTTATAACTATAAGGCATAATAAGGCTGAGAGGGTCCATGTCCCCCGGGGTACTGCCGGAACGTACCCTGGTACTATCTAATATGCCGGACCGTACCTCGCCTACTCCACTAACGAGTCTATAGGGAGTCGCCTATGTCGTACCCAAACTTGGAATCTGCACAATCTCGAGATTGTGCAGCGATTGCGCTGCCCAAACTGCGGATTCCCTAGTTTGGCCGACCAATCTCAAGATTGGGCAAACTGAAAACAGTCGGTGATTCAACAACCGCTCATAGCGAGTGCGTGGCGTGCGTGGTGCAAACTAGGAAGAGATTTATCTCATATTTATCCAATTATTTATTATAATCATTTAATATTTATACAAAGGTGCCAAACACATTGAGGAAAGAAGGTATACAACCTTATAGTTATGATATAACATTTGAAATCCTAATAATCATATGTGTGTGCAAGACCGTGCAAGCCCTGTTTACCTCTGTTTGCCCAATCTCAAGATTGGTTGCCCAAACTGCGGATGCGCTGAAATTCCAAGTTTGTGCAAGATTCCAAGTTTGGGCACAACACCTATGCCTACTGCCTAACCCTAACCCGAACCCTAATCCTAACCCTAACCCTAATCCTAACCCTAACCATATCAAATAGTGACCAGAGTACGTTCCGGTATACCGGACCGTACCCAGGGTACGTTCCGGCAGTACCCTGGGGGACATAGACCCTATGAGCCATAATAAGCCCATTGCTTATGCAATGTTGACGAATGCTAGAGTAACTGGCACCTTGTTTAGTTAATAAGTACATAACCTTACATCCAAACGCGTATTAGTTTGTCCAATATCACTGCTGGTTACTAAGAAATGTCTAATTGAAATCCGCAGTCCAAAAATCAGTTGTTTACAGTTTCATACCGCTGCCGTCGAAGCGGGTGTGGTACAGATTTATAGTGCACCAGACATTTTTGCACGCATGCTCGGCCGTACGCAATGCTATTATCAGTGATTTCGTAAACATGGACGCTCGTGATAAGGAACTTTTTGTCAGGGCTGTCCACGTGTGTCCGTGATTAGTATGTGTGTTTTACTCCATTTCTATGTTTAGTCCATGGCCGTGGTTACACCGCTGACACCTCCATTTCATCTGGCGTCCAAAACATGATACGGGCCGCACAAACGTTTACGTCATCGCTTGACTCAGGACTGGATGACATTTACGGCACGTAAATGATATGTTGATACATATCATTTTATCAACAACCGATTTCAAGTCTTGTTTGTAATGTAACCAGCAGTGATATTGGACAAACTAATACACGTTTGGCTATAAGGTTATGTACTTATTAAAGACATAATAGGCCCATCGATTATGCAATTTTAACGAATGCTTGAGTAACTGGCACCTTGTGTAGTTAATAAGTACATTACCTTATAGCCAAACGCGTATTAGTTTGTCCAATATCACTGCTGGTTACTAAGAAATGTCTAATTGAAATCCGCAGTCCAAGAAATCAGTTGACTGACTTGTTTACAGTTTCGAAACCGCATACGCCGAAACGGGTGTGATACAGATTTATAGTGCACCGGACATTCATGCATTTTCGCTCGGCCGTACGCAATGCTAGCGATAGTACAGTACCGTAACTCTATACGTAACAGTAGCTATGATTGTAATGAACGTGGAATCCACGTACGAATCACGGGACGCTCGTGATAATGAAGTAGGCTGTGTTGGGGGCCAACACTATGGGGGGATCGCGGACTAACCACGGCCACAGACTACATGAAATGCAGACGGCACTACGCGTATTTACGTATATTGGTCAAACGAAGACAACTGTGTCCGAAATTGAAGACGTGGGTACCCGTTCATTAGCACCCACGGTTATTTACTTGCGACTCAATACCGAGAATACACCCAGAGATACATTCTACTAGCTCATTAGTCGTATATAAGCATCCCGGGACAAACAATTCTCTGCTAAACACCCGTAGCAACATGTGACGTCACCTAACCGAATTCGAGGCTATTTTGCTTGGCAACCAATTTAGCATTGGCGCCAGATTACCAGATTTACGGATTTCGATTAGACATTTCTTAGTAATTAGCAGTGATATTGGACAAACTATTACGCGTTTGGCTATAAGGTAATGTACTTATTAACTACAGAAGGTGCCAGTTACTGTAGCATTCGTCAACTTTGCATAATCAATGGGCCTATTATGCCTTTAACTATACAAGGTGCTAGTTACTCTAGCATTCGTCAACATTGCATAATCAATGGGCTTATTATGCCTTTAATTATGGATGGTGAAATCTCCATTATAACCTCGTAACCTCACAAATATTAGCTTAACGTCGAGAATAGCAAACTTGCTAGTACACCCATATTAAAACGAGAGCAAATGTTGAAATACCATCAAAGAAATATCATGCCATTATCAATATTGATTTGAATCATATCAGTGCAACTGATGAAAGTATTAAAACCACAACCAATCACGACTTAACAGTGTCACTGCGTACAGTAACTATGTTACGGTAGATGACTGGCATGTATCTCTGCTCTATTATAGGTGGGGTGTCGATGGACACGCAGACAGCTTTGGCTGTTCACTCCCTCCTTGAGTACCAGGGTGGCGCTCCAGGAGGGGCCCCCGAAGCTGTGCTCGGTACGTAGCAGCAGCTTTGCAGTAATAGAAAGTGTCATTGAAACTGTACATTTGAAAAATATAATTCAGAATTAAGATGAATTGGCTTAAATTTACATCTAGTTTGTCCTACTATACACGCAGAACGAATAATGCCTTTTAACCAAAACTGCATCTTTGGTCGTCATTTTCCAACGTTTTTTCTTTTTAATTTCGTCGCCATTTTTGATCATTTCTGCTATTTCTTCTCGAAACGCTGTGCCAAAATATTGACGCACGGTTTTATTCTGTTAACGTTTTCCGCGCAGTGGAAGAAGAGGACGTGTTCCAGTGCGGCAAGTGCAAGAAGCAGTTCACCTCTCTGACCGTATTCATGGCCCACAAGAGGGAGCACTGCAACCAGGTGGCACCACGGTCCATGCTGCCGGCGACGAGTGTGACGACGGCGAGCGCGTTTGCTATGACTCAGCTGCCGCAGCAGCAGCAGCAGCAGCCGGTGGCGAGCCGTGCCGCGGTGGCGCCACCGCTCGTGTCGCCGACGTCGTCGTCCTTGTCACTCTACAACGCGTTGCCGACGTCGCCGCTCGCGCAGATCGCGCAGAGCATGGTCATCGGCACCGAGGAGCTGGTCACGTTCGCGACGATCGACCAGACCGGTGGTGCCGGCGCGCCGCTGCAAAATGGCGTTGGCCTGCAGGCGATGACCAACCAGAATCCGTTCATGCCGCAGACGAGCCCCGTCGCACGCACCCTCGCGACGGCGAGCTCCGTCGTCGCGCCGCCGTCGTCCGCCGTCTACACGAGCACGTTCCCGCTCTCGCAGCCGCAGGCACAGACGATCCTCAGCATCGGCACGCCTATACGGCCGAGTCCGAGCAAGGGCGCGCGGCGAGACGGGCAGGCAGGCGGCGGCGGCGTGCTCATGAATCTCGATGCGACGAAGGGGCGCCGGCGCGGCATGGACGCCGACAGTGCGAGCAACCACAAGGTAGGCGACGCGGGGGTTAGTCGTGCGTGTTGAGCGTGTAGTTGCGGAGAACGTCACTGCGCGTGCACGTCCAAGCGGGAAAGAGTATGGGGTTCTTCCCAGGAATTTCAGAATGCATGTCGGGTAACTTGACACTTCATCCCCGATCGCGAATTGGAGGCAGTTATGTGTGTCATAAGCGGCTCCCTGACTCCAGTGCACCGGATGAGCTCGAGACGTATAGATCAAGCTGTGAAAACTTGGCATGACTGTTTTGGGATTGCCAAAAGTAAACACAGCTAGAAATTAACGCATGTCGATTAGGCCTAGTAAGGTATGTCGGGGGATATATTGGATATCGCAAATTAGTCTCGGCTTTGAAGATATGTTGGACCCAACATGTGTTACAGGCTTGGGGAGAACCCAGGGGTATATGCCTCACGCCATTATGTTACCCACCCGCCGTGTGCAACTGCGTGAATGTTTTATAGGCAATGAAGCTGCGCTGCACGTACTGCGAAAAGCTCTTCTCCAAAAACTTTGATCTGCAGCAACACATCCGAAGCCACACGGGAGAGAAGCCATTCCAGTGCATCGTGTGCGGTCGCGCATTCGCACAAAAGTCTAACGTCAAGAAGCACATGCAGTCTCACAAGGTAGTAGCAGTCTGCGAAATTAACCACTGGCCCGGTATCCGAGGCCAGTAAATTTTCCGTGGGGCCAATGAAACTGGTAAATAAACAAGCCCGATAGGCCAGTGGGAAAAAAATGGAGTAAATGGTCTATTAATGATATTTCAGCTTCTTTATGTGATGATCAGTATTTTGTATGAAAATTTACCGATATTTACCGATAGGGCATCATGATATTCCCGATCTTAAGTAGGGGAAGTAACTAGTCAACACCATGCGTGTTTGTCGCCGCTAGAGGTCGCAACAACTTCCGGTTTCCGGTTCTGGTTTTCAACGTGGCCTTGAACGTGTTGGCTAAGTTACTGTTCGAAGTCGAAATGAGCTTTCTGATTATGAATGAGCGTGATGATGATGAGTACGATGGCAGTGACAATGAGATGGGGGAGAGGGAAGTGGATAATTTTTTGTTCAATTTCATGAAAGAATAAATCTCTAAGAATACACCAGAGTTCTGTTTCTCTTTTCATAATATGATGATCATTGATTTGGGCTTGTAAAACCTAGTGTGGGCCAGTGAATTATACATTTCACAGGCCCGCTGGGCCAATGAGGGTGGAAGTTTTTCGTGCAGACTGTAGTAGCAGTAAGGTAGTGGAAAGCACTAGCTACAGGGTGACACCATGTAGTTACAAAGTAGGTTATAGTTGGGAGATGACTGAGAGGGTTAGATTACACAAGATTGTCGTGCAGTCACACAAGGTAATAGGTTATACATAATAGTGAATGACACCGTCTAGTAGGTGATGCAAGCTGGGAGGCAACATAAGGTAGTAACTAACTAGTATAGTAAGTGAGGGCAAGGGTGACACTGATAGGTTAATACATACAGTGAACACTACATAATGTAATGGTGGGTACTGGTTGTACAGGGAATAGTAGGTTACACAAGAATAAAAGTGAAACAGAGACGCAAAGGAATAGGCAACACATTGTAGTAGGTTATAGAAGTGCTAAGTAACATTGTCGTCGATGACACCTTGTAGTAGTTAACAGAAAGTGATATCTAAATCAGGATATGTGAGAAAAGATAGCAAGTGACAAGACGACTAATGAAAGTGGTAACATTTCGTATCGCTACGTTTTTCCCCACAGGTATGGCCGTCAGGAATGGGGCGCACTCTGCCAATGGCACCGTTGGTTCTCATGAGTAAGGAGGACTCTAAGGAGATGGAAGAGCAGACAGAGGGGCCTCTGCACGGACATACAGAGGAGATCCAGATATCATCACTTGCTGAGGGTCAGGAAGAGATGCAGCAGGTATGGGACCACTATGCTAGCTGTAGCCTCTACGCAGTAAGAGGAGCTGATACTGGATTCAGCATGGAGAAACTGCGATATATTTATATGGATATATATATAAGAGCGCAGTATTTGACGTCTGCTGCTCAAGGAACCATCGAAATTATCAGACCTTATTCATGCATTCTTTTTTGATGTTCTCGGTTGACTGATGTTCGCTTTGATGCTACTCTATATCATGCTATGAGCTCACATTTTCTTCTGGGATTATACGATTATGTTATCCCTTGTAGGTGCCTAGATGGCACATCAGGCAGTGACAAGAGATCTCCAACGTCATCGGTTCGCTCCTACTGGCCTCAGCTTATATGATTATACTAGTTTTTTTTGTTTTGTTTTTATATGAAAAAACAGATTACCATAGCAGTATTTTCTATAGAAACAGTGCTAAAATTTTGGATCATGATCGTTTCCGACTCGTGTAGTGAGGCCTTTATTTTCCTTTATTTTCTTATGTGCAGAACTGCAAGGAAGACCGCACTCAGAACATGGATCCAAACTGCGTTGTAGTCGATGCTTCGTACTTGTGCCAGTACTGCAATCAGTCGTTCGAAAACTACTTTCACCTGAAAACTCATATGGTCTCTCATAAAAGTGAACAGGTAAGAATATCTCTATGTTTAGCACAGATATGTGTTGAAGACTGAAATATTCTGTTGGATTTCCACCGACTGTTAAAGTGCTTTTGTTATGAAAGTGATAATTGTCTAGCATATCATATTATATTAATTTAGGCCCAAAGGGTGAGGGAAGGGCACTTTTTGTTGTTGTGGGGTAATGCCCGAAGAGTAGTTGCAGCATGGTGAATGAAGCAGAACGTTCTTATAGCAATAAATGTTTTGAGGAGCAGGTGGTGTCTACAAAAAGGAACCCGGCCTATGATATATGCTAGCGATGTAAATTGCCGTGATGGGTGCATGCGATTGTTTTGCCCCCTCCCTCCTCGTTACCGTTAATCACGCAGACAGGTAGCGACATCCTCTCTCTCTCTCTCCCTGCGCGTGCGCACCAGGTGTACAAGTGCGTGCTGAAGACGTGCTCGGAGACGTTTCACGAGATGGACCAGTTTCTCGACCACGTGAAGATGCACGAGGACGAGCTCTCATACCGGTGTCACATGTGCAGCAAAAGCTTCAGCACACTCTACGACCTCGGTGTACACCAGTACTCACACAGTCTGTATCCCAACCAGCAGGCCAAGCTGTGCGGGCCCAGGTAAGCAGTCATGTAGATGTTTATAGCACCAGTACACACACACAGTCTGTATCCCAACCAGCAGGCCAAGCTGTGCGGGCCCAGGTAAGCAGTCATGTAGATGTCTATAGCACCAGTACTCACACACAGTCTGTATCCCAACCAGCAGGCCAAGCTTAGCAGGCCCAGGTAAGCAGTCATGTAGATGTCTATAGCACCACTGACCAGTACACACACACAGTCTGTATCCCAACCAGCAGGCCAAGCTGTGCGGGCCCCGGTAGGATTGCTTGATGCCTATGTTGACTTAGTGTGTTGGAAGAAAAGTTGCCAATTGATTGATTCTGTATCATTAGTAATGTCAACCCGGGAGATACACGAGAAAGTTAGCCGTCTGAGCAGAACTAGTCTAACACCATCATCAGTACTGCTTTACCTATTACGTTGAAGACATTTGTTTGTTTTGAACCAAGTAGGTGGCGCTAGGTGTTCGTATATATCATAGCTGTCTCATCTTCCCCATTTGCGTGATGGATGGAGAGAATATGATAATGATATAAGTACTTTTTCTTTATTTGGCAGGTACTACCGGTGTAACAAGTGCATGAATAAGTATGCAACACCAGAAGCCCTCGAGCATCATATGAACACTGTTAACCATACATATCCCTGCCCGCAATGTGGGAAGGTGTTTCCATGTGAACGCTATCTGAGACGGCACCTGCCTTTACATGGGACTCTGCCAAAATTTCTATGTCAGGTATCTGTTTATCTATTTGTGTAATTTGAATTGCTTAAATAAAAAATTAGATAGACATTAGACTATCAAAGAGGTTTTATTTTCAAAATTTAATTTACTGCATGTATTAATATAATATGATAAGAAACTCGGCACATGTGGGATGTGGAGAGGGATGGGGATGTGGCAGCTAGCAACTCCCTCACACATAGTCTGTCATTAAATTATAAATGCCTTCATTAAATTGAACATAGTTCTTCATTAAATTGCACAATGCCGATTAGGACATTACTGCATTAGGCGTAACAAAAAAAATTGTTTGTTTCCGGTTACCCATGGTTCGCACAGTCCTTGAAAAGTCCTTGAATTTGAGGGGAGTCCTTGAAAAGTACTTGAATTTAGTAAATGTTGATTTTGTGCTTGAAAAGTGCTTGAATTTCATGAAAATGTCCTTGAATTTTTAGAAAGAATCCTTGTCTGTAATAAAAAGAAATGTACTATCAATAATGTGCAAACCTCAATAAAAATTGCGTTAAATGAGCTTAAAACGCTTTAGACACGATAGACAGTTAAATGATGATCATAAATTACAGTAAGTCAGTAAAATCAGTCAGTAAATCAAGGTATGTTGTAGAAGTGACAGTGTTTAGAAGGGTTTATTAATGTGATCCAGGTAAGTTTTAGAGGTGACATGCAGTGATTAAGAATGGGGTTATTAAATTAATCCAGGTATGTTTTGTTCTGTGTATGAATTCCGATAAAATGTCTGATAAAATGTCCTTGAATTTCCGATAAAATGTCCTTGAAAAGTCCTTGGAAAAAATTGCAGTCCTCCTGTACGAACCATGTTACCCGACCGACCCTACCAAATAGTTGCCGACCCTAAACATTTTTGACCACTTTTAAAAATGAAAATCAACAAATGCATCGATTGGACCTTTAAATTAATATAAATTTAAGATGAATTTATTACGAAGCATAACCCTGCACATTGTGGCATGCAGCCAATTAACTCACCTCTATAAAAGTAGGAGATGTACGAACATCGCGCGATGTTTACAAACGGAATAGGCCTACATGGTGTCGAGACATAACGTGTATGATACAGTCGTTGTGTTTCGTATATCACTAGACTGGATGGATTCCCATCGAGTAACTAAGCCGAGAGGTGGGACCGGTTACCAGTCTAGTATATCACTACTGAGTAGGCCCTCTAGCGGACGTTTAAGTGAGACAAAATGAGTCCTAAAATTTTTCAGCAAAATAAAAAATTTTACCGGCATGCCTACCCTAGTTTGAAAAATCAAGTAATCGGAAACAAAATTTTTTTTTTGTTACGCCTTACTGTATCATCCAGGCAGCAGGCATCACGTCGTTGCTTGACGTAACATCTTCGTTGTCATTGCAGGTCTGCAACAAGGGCTTCAAGACGGACACGTACCTGAAGATGCACGCGCTCATCCACACGAACGAGCGGCCATTCGCGTGCGACCAGTGCCCGGCCGCGTTCAACCGCAAGGACAAGCTGAAGCGGCACAAGCTGATCCACCTGCCGCAGAAGCGCTTCAAGTGCCCGTTCCGCTCGCACGTCGGCTGCAAGAAGGAGTTCAGCCGCGCCGACAAGCTGAAGGCGCACATCATCACGCACAGCGGCATCAAGCCGTTCAAGTGCGCCGACTGCGGCAAGATGTTCAGCCGCAAGATGTACCTGAAGGAGCACGAGCGCACACACCAGGAGGCGCCGCCGTGGCGCTGCGACAGCTGCGAGCGTGGCTTCTTCCGGCACCGGCAGCTGCAGCTGCACAAGTGCCGCGCCGCGCGCGAGGAGAAGGACGCGCCGATGCGGACGCGCGTTCGCGCGAAGCTCGGTCGCCCGAAGAAGCGCGCGTACGCGTTCGGCGTCGCAAAAGCCGCGGGCGGCGAGCCGCGGCCACGCGGACGACCGCGCAAGCACCCCCTGCCGGCGAAGAGCGGCGGTGGCGACGAGTACGCGCCGCTGACGACGGAGACGACGGAGACGAAGGACGGGAGGGGGACGCACGAGATTGCGGACGTTGTGTTCACCGAGCAGCAGCTCGAGCAGGCAGGCATCGACCCGTACGCGGTGCCGGACGGTGGCGCCATCTCCCTGCAGCCCGTCTCGCTGTCGTCGTGAGAGCACGTCGGCGTCGCGCGGTGCCGTCATGGTGGTGCGGCTGGACTAGCGAGTCCACGCGCGCGCAGCAGCGGCGGGGCGCGGCGGGGGTGAGGGGTGGCCACAGAGCTGCGTCGGACGCTAGACTATTTATGTAACGGTGCTGTTGAACTCGCTGCGCAGCCGCGTTCATGGCATCTTACTGTACCTCAGGTTGTGGCATCTCGTCGCAATCGAATCTAATCGTGTTATGTCAGAGACTCTCGATGTGAGAGATTTGGCAGGAATTTTATCGTTCCTTTCGAAGACAGAAGTCGACGAATCATGACGATCGATGCGAGACCTTGTGGCGTGTCTGCATGTTCTGGCGTGACGTATCTAAGTGTACGAGAGCAGGTCAATGCATTGAACACAACGGCATTCGCAATATCAGTACGTAGATTGTACCTGGGTTTGAAATTAACGCGAGTCCGGAGTCAAATACCCCCAGATTTACTGTCAGACTCCCTGATGTGACGTATGCAGGAGTCCGTGTGATTCCTTGATAATTCTGGTATACTAACTAGTTCGTTCCAGAGCCTGGTCTCGCGGAATTGCTGGATTTTTTCAGCAAATGTCCAAAGAAAATTTTGCAGACGTGCAACCGCATGATTTTAAAAAATAAGCACATGCGTTATTGTTAATGTTTAGTTTTAAACTTCAGACTGCAGACTCCCTCGTTTTGCTGCGGCCTCCCTCTTTTTGAGGATAGGGAGTCCGTTGGACTCCCTTGTTCAAAAGTTAATTTCTACCCCTGTTGTACCATGTATCTTTTAGTCGCTGATCGTGAGTGAACAATACAGAGATAGTACCGGTATTATAAGTCGATGCGCAACTGTCAGGTATCTAAATTTAGTCGTAAATGTAGGGTAACATATTTGCATTCATGGGCGGGCGCTGGTGTTTTTACTTCTAGCTTGACCCGTATCTCCACTCAGAACTAAAAGTGCTGCTGTTATTGTCGTGTAAATTTATTTGTCAGTGGCAAGTGTGTATGTTTACATGTACACGAGACGCTAAAGTATCTTGACCGTTTTTCTCGAGGCTAAAACTAGGTCAAAACACTGTCAGTTTCAATCGATTTAACAGGTCTGCCGACTTGTTGTCTTTTTTTTGTGATAACTCACAACAACTCCATTATGCGTTATCAGATGGCCTTTGTAAGTAATTATGAATACATTCTTTACTGAGAAATGCACACTGGAGGTTACTGGCTTTCTAATCATGTAGTGATGCATTTCGTATTTAGGAAGAATTGATTAAAGATTGGATATAAGATTCCACTATATAGGCTTGCCTGCGCTGTTATAAATAGCTAAATAATGACTGCCAGTCTGTCATTCGTTCACGTGTGTCCAGTGTTATGTTAACTGTTTGTCAACATACCAAATATACTTTTTTATTGTTAACGTATTTAATGTGTGGTGCTGCATTAACACTGCAGCTTATGTGATGAGAGTGTCATGGATGAGCAATAAAGAATTAATTAAATCATAATTCTTGAACTTGAACATTTTCAGACGTCTCTGAGTTGCTGTTGTAATAAGTGCTTTTCATTCAGACTTAACAGGACAGGGAACACAGTATGCTAGGTAGATGGATAGGTCTATTCGTGAGCAGGCTACATTATTTTGTAATTGATAATTATTTTGTAAACAATCATGTAAGTGAAAACCAGTAGGTGGTGGCCCTAAAATATACCTGTGTGAGGGAGATCTCATGTCGCCAGAAAAACCTTTGAGTGATCTATATAGGATAGCTGATGAAGGTGGATAAATAGTGGTTGGTAATTTACAATATTTTGTAAAGCTAGCACAAAAATGGCGTGTGAGCATTTGGAGCATTCAGCATGGGAGGCCTGTTGTAACACATCGTCTTAGGTTGTCCTCGCTGAACTGACGGAGGCCCCGGGCCCTGGGTCGGGAAGTGTAGAGCGCATTAGGTGTAAGGTTGCTTATTTATTAACTATACTATGCAAAATGTATCCCAACGATGAGCGAACGGTATCTTCAGGATACTCTATTATATGAACGTATTTGAATAACGCGGGCACACGCTACATGACCGAGGCTTGATTATAAACCTGTGATATTTGAAGACTATAGTAATTATCTGCAAAGATAAGATGCAGAGCGGACGTATTTTCTCCTCTGTAACTTCTTTACCCGGAATCCCAACACTACAGAGCTAATCGTCTACAGTTACGTACTAGTGGCAATGAATATACGTGTTTATTACATCAAGAGGAAGTGACAACATTTGTTTTTATCCACTCATGATAAATGACTGATGTGAGTGGCATATGAAGAGTGGCTGATATGTTTCCTGTGTGCTGTGTAACTTCAGGATTGTGGTATTTTCTATGCGATGTAGCTTAGTAATCCATGCGTGCTAAATCAGTCGTAGTTAAATTTATTTTTTATTATTTTTTAATTAAAGTGTATGCTACGTAACATAAAGATTACTCGCCGGCGAACGCGTAAGTAAGAAGGGATGCTATCATCCCCGTATAACGGCGTTTAAAATAACCCTACGCGAATGTGAGAACAAACGCCTATAATAAAGTAACGCTCGCGTCTGCGTCTTTGAGTTGGTTGATGGTAGCTTATTCAGCAGGGTTGCCGAGTTGCGATATTATGCAGGTTGCGCGACGTGATTGCATCGTCATGGATGGTTCCAGATAAGCGACATCGTTCGTTGTTGGGCTATACTACGCGCCATCGTATCATAGCCGTTTAGCTCTTTTACTGCGTGATGGTCCTCGCGGATTTTTATGGACTAGCCTCGTTATCATGACAACGGTGTTCGCTCTTCGAAACTGTCCCAAATCAGCGGTCATTACAGAGTCATCACGCGGTGACTTTTGTTGGCTAATCCGCTGCTATTGTGACAGCAACTTTATGGTCTGACAAACCATATAAGGTTGATGATATTATGCAGGCAGTCGCGGAGCCATTGTCTGCGTATGTTACCTGAGCAGTTAGTCGTTGCCGTGTCGTGGAGGGTATGCATTTGGGCCAACAAAGCAGGCAGGATGTGGCAGGGGAGACCACATTTGTCGAACTGTCACGAGAATCATGATCGATGAGCTGTCCATGATTACAACTCGTTTAGACTCCATGTTTCACTAGCCTCGGACCACCCCCTGTTCTATCCACACCAGCGCCATATATTAGGCAACACGAGTCGCCAGCACTGCCGGCAACCATAAGCAACAATGGTATACATGCATGTATATACACATATATACATATATATGCACATATATATACACATATACTATATATATATATATATATATATATATATATAATACTACTAGTAATAAGTTACTTTTACTTATATATATATATATATAT